GCTTCATTGCCTTATTTGCTCTTCACAGTTCAGGGTGCTGCTGGCACTTCTTTTTCTGGGAGCACTAACATCAGATGAGTCCAGCAGCGGGTGATGTGGGGAAGCCCTCAGGCCACTACATTCCAGATGTCTTACCCATGCATGGTCCAGAGACTCTGCAGAAACAAGGAATGATTGTGTGCACTGAGGGGCTTTCTCCCAGGCCTGGGATGCCTTGGGGTGGGGGCTGGCTTCCATTCAGCCTTGCCTTTTCAGCCCTTCTGCATCTGGCTTCTGCTCCCAGGCTGGGGGTTACATTGTGGCTACCGTCCCCTCCCCCACTTCTTTCTGAGGCCTGGGGGGTCAAGGCATGGCACATGGGGATAGGAGTCTAAGCAGACTCTGGGGCAGGGGTGGGAAAGAACAGCAGGTGGTCAGGGACAACACCTGAAGGAGTATTTGGCAAGGATGACAAGGACGAGCTGAAAGGGGGATCCTCTGGACCAGACCTGTCCAGTAGAAAGTTCTGCAAAGTGATAAATGTTCGATAGTCTGTGCTTTCCAACTTGGTAGCCATTAGCCACACGTGGCTATTAAGTACTTGAAATGTGGCCAGTGTGACTGAGAAACTGAATTTTAAATTTTATGTCATTTTTAATTTAATCAGAAGCATTTCCTTGTTTCAATTTAAATAGCCACACTTAGCTAGTGGCTACTGTATTGAACAGTGCAGCTCTAGACAGCTCATTCAGAAAGAAGTGGTGGGGTGCTCTTGAACCTCGTCTCGTCTTGCCGTCCCCCTGGTGAGGCTGGGAGGGTGGTGTTTTCTCTTCCTTTCAGGAAGGAAGGCTTGTTCTCTCGGGCAATTTCTACACTTCACCAACTCAGGAATCCTGATGCCCCAGGGCCAACGGGTCCCTGGCCATGTGCCACCACAACTGGGGCAGTGCTTCCCCAGCTCGCCAAGCATGTTTTCTGCCCAGCCTGGTAATACACAGGTGCTCGCATGCCCCAGTGGATTTGGCCAGGGCTGTTAATGCAGAGGTGGGGGGTTAGTAGGAAAAGTAGAAGCTTTTGCTTCTTCCTTCCTGCTTCTATGGAGATTGGGTCTGTGCTTTATTTTGACTTCAAAGAGTGCTAGAAACAAGCCCAACAGGGGCCTCCAGAGGTGAACACACAGATCCTCAAACATTTATTGAATATCCAGTGTTTGGAGGACACTGAGGCTTATCTAAAGGAGTGTCTCTGAGAATAAATAGCACAGGCCTCCACCTCACACTCCGGGAGGCCATACTGATATTTTAAATTGGTGTGGCTGACCCTTAAACTGGGTTTCCTTTTTTTTATCCTCTGGAAATAGAGAAGAGTTGTCGTTTATGTGAAAAAGAGAAGAACGATTCTTCATTATGCTTATTCTCTCCTGTCTGCCAGAGGAGGTGGGGATGGGAATATCACGCGTGGTGCATTTAGTAGACTCAGAAGTGCCCCAAGTCTTGGTGGGATTTGGGGCAGGAGGGTGGAGGATGTTGGAAAACCAGCCTCAAGGTTGGCCCTTGGCTTTGGGCCTTGTGGGAGCTTGGCAAGCAGAGGCAGTTTGGAAGTCCCCAGGGGCCATGAGGAAAGCCCCAGCAGCTGAGAGTCCTCAGGGAGCAGCAGGCCTACTGGAGCCACCAGTCAGGTGGTCCGTCCCCGCAGGCAGCCGGGACCTGACTTCGAGGGGATGGTCTCCTGGTCTTCTCAGAGAGGACAAGCCCAGACTTCCCTGCTTGGGCTCTGTGCCCACGAGATGGTGTGGTGTCAACAGGCTCTGAGCAAACCTTTGGGTGTGCCAAGGCAGGGGCTGGGGGAGCCCAAAGCCTCAGTGACCACCTCTGGGGCAGTGATGTGGGGCTGGCCACTCCGAGCCCACTAACCCCCCTGGATTGCTTGTCCCAGACCTCTCCCCACGACACAGGCTCAAGGCATCCCTGGAGTCTTCCGTTTATTCATGAAGTCATCCATTCATCCATTTTATTCCATCAATAAGCATTTACTGAGTGCCTGCTATACACAGGGACTGTTTTGGGCTGTGGGGATGGAGCAGTGATGAAAGCAAAGTCTGCGCCGAGCTCATCTTTGCCTCTTCTGGACGTATCCTTCCAGGGTAAAGGGAGATGCCATCTTGCCGCTTCTGCCCGCCTCAGCCTCCAGCTCCCAGGGGGCGCCTCTTGGGGGCGGGGCCGGCAGGGCGACCCCAAGGAGGTGCTATCCCGCGGCCTGGGCGCCGGCTGGCCCTTGAGAAGGGGGCGGCCGCCCTCTGCCGGGCTCCAGTGGCACTACAGGGCGGGTGCACACCGGGCTTCCAGGCGCATGTGCCGGCCGGGCCCCGCCCCCGACTCCGCCCCTGCGCTGGCGGCGGGCCCGTCGGGGCCAGGAAGCGTAGGCCTCAGGGGTTGGGGGCGGGGCCGGGGGCTGACTTGGCCGTAACCCAGCGAGGCAACTCCTGGGCATCCCATCCCTGCGCCTGCACCTTTGGTCTCGGCGGGTTTCTCCTCAGACCTCCTCCTCCTCCCTGCGGCCATCCCTAGGCTTCAAGAGGGTCTGTTCCCTTCCTTTGGGATCCACTGGTTATTGATGCCCAGTAAAATTTCAGAAAAAACCTTGGTATCTCAAAGAGTACCAGTCACTGTCTACTGACACACTTACACTGTTACTTTATAGGAGAGAAGACATTTCTTACACACCAAAAAAAAAAAAAAAAAAAGGTAATAAAGGCTAATCCTTGCCAACAGAGGGAAGGCACAGGTGCTGAGAGACCTTTGAACTGATCATCCCGAAGAATGCATCTGTCTGGTGGTGGGGAGTCTCCAGGAAGCATAAATAAATGCTCCAGGCCCTCCCCAGCCCTGAGAGCATAGCGCTGGAAACAAGACTCCCCCCAACTTCCTTACATAAAGAGTTCTATTAGTGACACTTTATACATTGCAAATTAGTCATAACACAAGCACTACATAATTAGTATCCATTTATGGAGACAGTGTTTATAGCCCCCCCCCCTTTTCTTTTAAGAGTTTTGATTTAAAGGGGAACTAGAAAGACAAATGGGGTCAGAGGAGTATTCTTTCATTAAAATGCTAATTAGAACCTCAGTCTCAATGTTTTACAAACTACCTCCCTCTAAACCAGCCTCAAGAAGTTCACAGTCTAGTGGTAAGGGGATGAAACAAACAAAAAACAAAAAACCCCAAAACAGGCATTGTGCTTCCCCGCAGTGTTCACCGTGAGGTATTACACATCATCATTAGTTGCAAGAGTAAACGACTTACTCCTCAGAGCCTCCTGTCTAGCCTGCTCCCAGCTCTGCTTAACCACTTTGCCTAACCCAGTGCCGGAAACAGAGCCAAGGCCCTTTCACTCACCCAACACTACCAACGTGGCAGAGCAGAGTAGTTGAAGTTGTTACTCAATCTGGATATTCCTTTGTTCCCCATTCTTTTCTGCGTGGCTAATTACACATGTACCTTTCAGATCAGTTAGTTAAATCCAATGGATATTTATTGAACACCTACTTTGTGCCTGGTTCTGGGGAGTAGGATGGTATCTAAAGGAAGTAGGAAATCGTCCCTGTTCTCCAGGGGGAGAAGGCTTAAACACATGACACAAATAGATTACCATCAAAACATCAGTTTAGTCATGGCATATACTCATTAAACTTCAATAAATTCAACTACAGTTCCCCCCCGCAATCCGAAAGTACAGCGTTCCTATGAAACCTTTTGGAAGCTGAAATGGTGCAAAGTAGAGAAGCAATGACCTTAAGGCACATTTTGCTAATGGATGCATTTTTAAAAATCGAGATAAAGCACACATACAGATTCACTTCAAAGCTATGACAGTCTTTTTTGTTTGTTTGTTTTTTTGTGGTACGCGGGCCTCTCACTGTTGTGGCCTCTCCCGTTGCGGAGCACAGGCTCTGGACGCGCAGGCTCAGCGGCCACGGCTCACGGGCCTAGCCGCTCCGCGGCATGTGGGGGCACGAACCCGTGTCCCCTGCATCAGCAGGCGGACTCTCAACCACTGCGCCACCAGGGAAGCCCAAAGCTACGACAGTTTGATGCTGAGATGCTGAGTGTAGTTCCTGGGGAAGGAGCTTGGCAGTGCTGCCTGGCGTGTGTCCTGTCGCTATAACGCTTGCTGCAAAACAAACACTGGACACTATTTTTGTTCTTAGCATTTTTTTGTAAAAGCGAAAATCCTCTTCAGATTTCTTTTGCTTATCGGAAACAGGTACTAATGTATGCCTTTCGTAAAAGCCAAGTGGCATAAAACAAACCTTCAAAAAATGGAGGATACCTGTATGTGGTTGTGTAGGAAACTATATATTACTGTAGTCTGAAATTATAACCATTGTATTTTGTACACTTTTATTCAATGCTGTACATGACTGTATACATTATGCTTTCAGATATATAGAATGGTATATACAAACCCATGTGTACTATACTTTGTGAGCAGGTTTAGGGATTTTTAAGAGTAATTTTGACTATACTCTATTTTTGCCTTACATGCTGACTTTAGAATCTAATTCCACATGGTATGTGACTCCCCTCTATGTGATAGAGCACCGTGTCGAGTATACTCAAGAACCACCGTGCATATGTGCTTATGTATAGGTATAGACAGTGAACACTGTGGGTTTTTTGGGTTTTTTTCTTTTCACTACACCTTGGTTTTTAATAATAATTTGATCACTACCGACAATTTGCCAGGCCTAATGCTAGGTGCTTTCCATGTACTTCTTTTTTTTTTTTTAATAAATTTATTTATTTCTTAATTTATTTTTGGTTGTGTTGGGTCTTCGTTGCTGCACTTGCGCTTTCTCTAGTTGCCATGAGTGGAGGCTACTGTTTGTTGCAGTGCGGGCTTCTCATTGCAGTGTCTTCTCTTGCCGTCGAGCACAGGCTCTAGGCACCCGGGCTCAGTAGTTGTGGCTCGCAGGCTCTAGAGCGCAGGCTCAGTAGTTGTGGCGCACAGGCTTAGTTGCTCCGCGGCATGTGGGATCTTCCTGGACCAGGGCTCGAACCCACGTCCCCTGCATTGACGGGTGGATTCTTAACCACTGTGCCACCAGGGAAGTCCCACTATTTTTTTTTTTTTAATTCTCACGACAACCCCATAAGGTAAGTGTACTATTATAAGGCAAAGAGTGGAAAATCTAAAAAATCGAGTAACTTTCCCTTAGGTCAGACTGCAAGAAAGAGTCCGAGCTGGGATTTAGACTTTGCACTCTGTTACCACGCAGGTCTTGGGTTTTGGGAAAGGCTTCATGAAGGAGGTGGAACTCACGATGGACTTTGAGAAATGGGGAAGGTGGAGGGGCTGGTGGAGAAACTTTCATAAGTAAAGGCTCTGTGGGAGATGAGGGCAGGGAGCCGTGGGAAGATCTTCCTGAGAGAGTGAGAGCCTGGAGTGCTGGGGAGAGGGCGAGGGTGAGAGGAAGGTGAGGGTGAAGCGCTGAGGAGGACCCAGATTGTGGCTGTCCTTAGAGGGAGGCTGAGGTGCCTGGAGGTGGTCTGGCTGGCTGTGGGAGTGACCGCGTGGCCCCCAGAGCCATAGGACAGGCTTAAGGACCAGGTCCTGAGACAGCACTGAGCTTTGAGCAGCAGAGGGAGTAATGGTGATTATGTGTGAAGCTGAGTGGGTTGCCAGGGCCCCAGTTTCCCCCTCTGAATGAAGAGGTTTCCCTTTTCGCTAAGGGAAGTGAAACTGCCCTGAGATGGTCTCCGTCAGTAACACCAAGCATCTCAGAGACAGAATGGACAGGATCTAGTCATCTGAGTAGAAACTCGGAACGGATGGGCCCACGGTTACTACTAGTAAGTCAGACGAGACTGTGCAGACGAAGTGACACTCGGTCACCCAGAAGTCATCTTCCAGGGCACTGCCGAATGGCAGGTGAGCCTCGAAGGCCCTCAGGCAGCCAGCGTAGAGAACACTGAGTCTGCGTGTGAAAACCCAGGCCTTTCACTCACAGGAGAGGCTGTGTGTTCGCTGACATCCCACGTGTTCTGCTCTGGACTCTTCTGTCAGGCTTGGTTATTTGGCTTTACAGCCTTTGGCAGAAACAGCATATTAGAAGGAGGTGAGACTGCGCAAGACAGGCGTGCTGACAGGCAGAGTGACAGCCGATGGTCTGGCAGGGGTAGGGGACAAAAGAACTAAACAGCAGATACACAGACACAAAGGGCGTCTGGCCTTCCTAACATGGGGGTAGCCCGAGGCTTCAGGTTGACTGCGGTGCCGAGTCGGGGCTGGTGCCCTTGGAGAGTGGTTTGGGGTGTTGGTGGGGCAGAAGCCAGGCTGTCAGTCAGGAGGTCAGAGTTTAAGATGTTAGAGATGAGTTCAGAGTATTTTACCAAAGAAAGAGAGTCTATAAAATGTTCGTTATTTTTATGATTGGAAATAGTAATAGAATTTAGAAAACTACTTAAAATAGAAAGTATTTTGTCCCTTAAAGAGGGTAGGCTTCAGTTACCTGAAAATTTTGCTTGGGATGCCTCTCCCCCACCCCAATGATCACAGATAGATGATAACTGTTAAAACTTATCGAAAACATAGGGGCTGGACCCTGTTCTTAGGGCTTTGCAAGTACTAATTCATTTAATGCCTACAATAACCCTATGTAGTAGGCACTATTACTTCCCCCATTTTATAGGTGAAGAAACGGAAGCAAGAGTGAAGTCGTGTAGTTTACTGCATGGAAGAGCCGAGATTGAACCCGGCAGTCTGGCTCTGGAGGCCTCACTAACTTAACCACAACACAGTGTGAGTAACTCCTTTAAAGCCGTGGTTCTCAGAATCACCTAGAGAGGGCTGGTAAAAACTCAGCATAAAAACATGCTGAGTTTCTGATTCAGTAGGTCTGGGGTGGGGCCCTAGAGTTTATATTTCTGACAAGTTCCTAGGTGATGCTGATCCTGTTGGTCTGGAGACCACATTTTGAAAACCAAAGCCCTTTCCCTGACTGAGACCTCACCAATTTCATGCTAAGAGAGTCAGTGCAGCATAATCCTCATTTTGCGGATGAGGGAAGTCTAAGTCACCTGCCCGTGGCCACACAGCTAAGTCATTCATTCCTTCATTCACTGACTCTCTCATTGATATAACAAATGGGCACCTCTGCACTAGGCCTCATGTTGACCTTGCAGTCAAGCAGCTCTCAGCTGTGGCTGTATGTAAGAATCACCGCGGGAGCTTTTAAAAATCCCAGTGCCCGGGCCGCCCTCCCAGACCAATTAACTCAGAAACTAGGGGGAAGAGGTGGGATGGAGGCATCAGTATTTTTAAAGTCCCACTGGGAATTTCAGTGTGCCACTGAGGCAAGTGATACCACTGTGTCAAGAAAGCACTGGAGGTACGAAGACCTGTGACATGGCACGTGCCCCCGAAGGGCCAGACCATCTCCCCGGGAAGACACACCACTCCCTAGAAAGCAGACTCACGAGCCCAGCGTCCTAATGGCTTGTACAGCGAGTGGCAGGTAGGAGCCGGAGCTGGGCTTCGGTCCTCTTGGGCAGTGCTTAGCAACCTCTTCACAGAGAAAGTAATACTGTTTACAGGACCCGCTGGGCTCACAGGACCGGCCAGGGTGACAGGCCTGGGGTCTCCAGACACCCTGTTGGGTATTGGTTAGGAGACAGCTCTGCTCTGGCTTCTCAGCAACCCCCCCTCCCCTCCCCATTCCCCTCCCCCCCGCCCCTTTTCTTCCTGGAGAGGAAGAGGGAGGCAACCACTGTTTCCTTTTTTGCTGCAGAGCTGACAGCTTCTGAGACAGCTTCAAAAGACCTGTCTTTTGGCTCCTTCCCACCTGCGCCCATCTCCCATTTCAGCCTCACCGGTGTCCCCAGCCCTGGTCTGGGTACCCTGTGGTGCTAACTGAAGAGCCAGGCCAGGTTTCTCTTCATGAGGAACGCTGGCCTCTCACTGGCAGCCCTCGCTCATCCGCCAGACACCCAAGATTTCCTCTGTCTGCAGGGCCAGGGCCCACCCACCACACCCCACCTACCCCACCTACCCCACCCTCCTCTGTGCCTGTGCAGTCACTGGCTGTGTGGGAGGGATGTCTACGCAGAGTGTGCGGTTGATCCTTTGCACGTCCCCGGTGTATTTATTACAGGGGGGCGGCCACAGTGGGCCTCAGACTGATGGTGCGGGTCTCTGCTCCTGCAGGACTTTATAGGATGGCTGTGTTTGCGCACAGTGGGCAGTGGGCCCTGTGTGTTGTATTGGATGTGACGTTGGTGGTTGTCTTGGCCTCTGCCGCAGTTATTAGATGGCTGGGGTGAGCCTATGATTTGTGTGTTCTCAGGAGCACTGTGCTGTGATCGAGTGTTCATGCATGCTGGTGTGTGTATGTGTGTGTGTGTGTGTGTGTGTACACGTGAACGCGCATGTGCCTGTCTTGACTCTGGCCTGTAGGGCTGGGGGGCTGCAGGTCTCAAATTCCTCTGCTATTTTTAGGGGCCATATCAGCTCAGCTGTCGGGAGCTTGGGTGTGTGTCAGTCGGAAAGTCTCACCCTCCGCGTCCCTTGCCCCTAACCCTCCAACACTGCCTGCCCCCCACCCCACGTCCTCACTCCAAGAGCCTCCTCCGTCTCTTCCACGCGTGCTGTATCACCCTCTCCCCCCGGCATACCTGGTACCCGCAGTCCTCCAGGCCACTCACTCTCGCACTCTCTCCCACTGGCTCTGGCCTGGGTTGGGCAGCTCTGGGCGGGAGGGGCCTGGAGAGAGGGAGGGGAACAGGGGCGGGGCTGCTGCCAGTGCTATTTTGAGCTGCTAACGGAGCAGCATCGGAGAGGAGACTCCTTGCTCTGGCCTGCTCCAGGCCAGGCTATGCGGGTGAGTGTCCCTCTGACCCCCCACCCCGGAAATGTCCCAGGCTCCTCATGCTGTTTCCTCATTGAGGAAAGGAGGGGACTTTTTGTTATTTCCTTCGAGGGGGCTGAAGTAGGTGGGGAGGGAGGCGTGAGGCTGCCTTGGTGGGGAGAGAACCATCCATCCCCGCAGCCTCTACCTCTCAGAGGCGAGGGGCAGGGCTTCCTGGGCCTGACTCATGACTCGGGAGGTCTTGTCCCTGCTTTGCGGGAGGTCTTGTCCCTGCTTTGCGTTGCCAGCATGGCCCTCCACCCCCGCTTCCCCCTGGTGGACAAGAGAGAGGGGCTTGAGAGGGGCGGCTTTTGGAGTTGTCAGGGATCCCCCTTTCATTGTCCCCGAGAGTGGACTCACCATGGGCTCCTCCATTTCTGTGGATCGGACGCTCGGAAGGGCCACAGATGGCATCTTGGGGAGTAAGTTCCTTAAAAAAGCAAGTGAGGACAGACACAGCGGCCTCCCAGTCCGTTCCGTTCCCCCACGCCGCCCCTCCCGGCCACCAAGGGTAAGGTTTTCAGTTGTGTCAGCAGTTGGCAGAGAGTATGGACTGGCCTGGTGCGGAGGTGTATCAGGAGCCTGAGATGTGCCTCGGAGCATTTGTATCTCCCTGTGCCCAAGGACTGCCCCGCTCCAGCCACAAAACTGGCACCAGCGCCAACGTGTGTGGGCGGGCTGGGGGTGGGGCCCGAGAGGCTTCTTACCCTGAGAGTGGGTGCTTCCTGGTAGAGCTTATAACCCACCCCACCTTGGGCCTCCAGGTCCCGGCACCAGGTCACAGACTTGGGGCCATGCACGCCGGTGGCCAGGCAGTTGGCAAAGTGCCCTGCAGAGGGGCAGTGAGTATCCCCAGAGAAGGGGGGGCCTCCAGCAGGTCTGGCCGTTGGAGGAGGAAGCCTGGGCCTTTTGCAACTGCAGTGGCAGCAGGAAGCCATCCCAGCGCACCTGCTTCCTCTAGGCTGGCCTGGCCGACAGTGGCCGCGCGCTTGGCTACTTTCTGTTCCGCCCTGGGCGGGGGGAGGGCTCTCGCTGGAGGCTGGACCAAAGGGGCCAGGGTGTCCATGCCAAGCTCTTCTCCCCTTTCTTCTCTGACAGCATGGCCTTTAGGCCACTCCCTGCAGAACCCTCCCAAGCGGCTCTGTATAAAGCTTATCCCAGTCATGGGTGGCTGGAGGGGTAGAGGCCATCTCTGGAAACCCCAGCTTTCTACCCAAACTCTTGCTCTGGCAGGTGATTTCATGGAAGGACAATGGCACAGGTGAACCAAGGGAGGTGGGGGCAGGGCTTCCTTCCATCCCCTAACATGAGCCTCTGAGGTTCTTGCTGGAGGACAGACCTGGGCGTAAGTCCCAATCAGCCACTCACTGCTGTGAGACCTTGGGCAGGTCATTTCTGAGCCTCCTTTTTCTCATTTGTAAAGTAGGAATCATCCTAGTATCTACTGCAGAGGGATGTTGTGAGGATTAAATGAGATCATGCGTGTAAAGCGTTCAGCACAGTACCTGGCACTTAGTAATGCTCAAGAAAGACTAACTGTTCTTACTGTTACTTCTTCCCTGCACCTTCCTCCTCCTCCACATCCTTAGATTAGTCGGTGCTAGGCTAGGACTGGCAGGGATAGGGTCAAGTGGGAGCTCCCTTCTGTGTTCGAATGGGAAAGGAGAGAGAGGAGGATGCCATGAGAAGCCCGGAGCGTGTGTGCGAGTTGGTAGAGGGAAGAGCTGCCACGTTCCCTTGGCCACAGGCAGCAGGATCTTCTCTTCCCCTAGGCAGTCTTTCTCAGGGTGTCCACTGCCCTCGGGGGCTTGCAGTGGGTGGACATCTGGCATGGATGTCCGCGATACATTTGTCCAGGCTGAGCACTCCAGGCCTGAGGGGTGCCTGGTGGGTGGAACGATCCCCCTGGGGGCATTTGTGCACCTGTACCCTCCTGTGCGGGGCACAGAGGATGATAAGTGAAGGGTGGATGGTCCTTGCTCATGATGTAGAGGGTAAAACCCAGCCTGACCCAGACCCCTGAGCCTTGGAAGCCTTCGGGGCTGAGGGTAGATGGGTCCCTCAGCACATTTCTTGGATTTCTCCTCTTTGAGAACAAATGCTTTTAGCTATTATCTCCTCTGCTTTTTCTTTTTTATTGACTGTTTAGCCATCTTTATAAGAGAAATAAATAGTAAGTAACAAATACATAACAAAATAAATACCAAATGTCTCTATTATGTCTAATTTGTACAAGGTTGTTAGGATCACTGTTTGCTTTCTATTTAGGTGCTAGTTTTTTTGTGAATCACTGTTCTTTTAGGAGGAGTTTTCCATATGGTTACATTGGCCACATGTTTGTTCGTTTAAATGGCAACACAACAGTGTATTGTACTGAAGTAACATAGTTTACCTAACCCCTCCCTAACTCTAGGGAGTTAACTATCTCCAAGTTAGGGCTATTATAGACAGTGCATTTTTGTATTGGTCTGTGGAGGTTTTCTTTCTCTTCCTTTCTTTAAGTCAGCTCGTCGCTTATACGTTCCTGAAGGTGGGACAGCCAGGCCAGAGGCTGATGCGTCTCATGGCTTTTGTTGGCTCCAGGGAGAGCTACTAAGCAATTTCAGAGTGTCCTGCCCTCCCTTCAGCCCCATGGCAATCGGGTTTACTATCTACTTATTGTTGCTACATTTAGAGATTATACCTCCCTTGTTTTCCCCACCTCCCTGGGAATCAGGATCGACAAGTCTTATTCTCCGTAGTTTACAGCTGACAGAAGAGACCAGATGGGAATAAGAGGTTTGTACAGAGAACCCACTGCAGGGCCGTCAGGCAGCAAACATTTATTTAGTGCCCACAGTACGATGAGTAAAACAGAGTCCTGCCTGTGAGGAAATCACAGTCTGGGGAGTGTTATAGACACACAAACAGCCCCCCAAGATCCATCCTGGGTGTGAATCCCAGTGCTGCCACTTACCAGCTGGGGGGGGGGGGCCCTCAGCAAGGTACTCGCCTTCTCGGTTTTCTTACCTAGAAAGTGGGTTTTTGTGAGGATTGGAGGAGGAGACGGCGTAAAGCGCCTACCACTGTGCCAGATACCACAGTGAGTGTTTGGTGAGCATTGGTTTCTCTTCCCTTCCCCGAAGAGAAGAGGCCAGAAGTGCCAGAGAGGGAGGAGGTGGTCAGAGCCTCAGAGAATGGCAGGGTCGTGGTCCCTTTGCAAGTCCAGAAACTCAGTTTGGGCACGTTGAACGCTAGTAAGCTCCACATTATCGATCCATGCTGTGGCTGGACCCAGACCTCTTGAACCTCAACGCTGACGCAGATCTTAACCAGAGTTGGCTACTAAGGATGACTCAGCCCCTCTGACCCTGCCTAACCTAGCAGAAAAGGTGGGCCTCCAAGGGAGCAGCACAGGCTTGCAGTCAGAGCCACCTGGGTTCAAATCCCAGCTCCATCACTTACCAGCTTTGTGACTTAATCTCTTTCTGAGTCTTTCTCCTCATCAGTAAAGCGGAAATAATAATAATTCCCATGTCGTGAGGCTGTCATAAGATTTACATACGAAAATATACTTTAAATATTTTTACGGGGCCCATCTCATTGTAGGTGTTCCATACTCAGTAATTAATGTTGCTGGAAATGTCTGAACTCTCCAGAGATGGAACAGGTCAGGGAAGAGAGGCTTTGGCTCCCAGGCACCCTTGCTGAGAACCATAAGTTCTCAGCTCTGGAGGTGACTGTGCCAGAGATATGGCCACCATCTTTGGGAATGTGTTGCCTACCTGTTCTGTATTGGATAAAGATAGGTTATTCTTTTTTTTCTTTTTTTGCGGTACGCGGGCCTCTCACTGTTGTGGCTTCTCCCGTTGCGGAGCACAGGCTCCGGACACGCAGGCTCAGCGGCCATGGCTCATGGGCCCAGCTGCTCCGTGGCATGTGGGATCTTCCCGGACCGGGGCACGAACCCGTGTACCCTGCATCGGCAGGCGGACTCTCAACCACTGCGCCACTGGGGAAACCCAAAGATAGGTTATTCTTGATCCTAAGCAAATCTTAGTTAAAATCTAGTGATAAGGAAGAGAGGAGAAAGATCCAGGCAATTTTGCACAGAAGCCACAGAGAGAATTTCCTCCAGGGAAAAACCCATGTTTGCATTCAGTGATGCTCATGAGGAACAGGCCCAGGTGTGAACGGCCTGGTGTCCTTATAGCCGGAGGCTGATGGGCTCCTCTCTGGACACACAGGAGAACTGGAGCAGGACATCAGAGAACGAATGAGTTAATTAAACAAACAAACAAACAAACAAGCTTGGGGCTTCCCTGGTGGCGCAGTGGTTGATAATCTGCCTGCTAATGCAGGGGACACGGGTTCGAGCCCTGGTCTGGGAGGATCCCACATGCTGCGGAGCAACTAGGCCCATGAGCCACAACTGCTGAGCCTGCGCGTCCGGAGCCTATGCTCCGCAACAAGAAAGGCTGCGATAGCGAGAGGCCCGCGCACCGCATGAAGAGTGGCTCCCCGCTCGCCGCAACTAGAGAAAGCTCTCACACAGAAACGAAGACCCAACAAAGCACAAATAAATTAATTAATTAATAAACTCCTACCCCCAACATCTTCTTAAAAAAAAAACACACAAAAAAAACAAACAAAGCCTAGCATATGAACTGGATAATAGGATAGAAACATCAACAAAGCAAATTTAAAGTAATTCACTGAAAACAAAACATTCTCTGTTTTTTCGCTATTCATTCAGGATAAGTAAGAATAAGAATGAACCAGTTTTTTAACTCCACTGACTTGAACGGATTCTTGAGATGAAGCCTCTCCCTGGGCTGAGGCCAGTTCTGCCTGTTGAATTTCAAGAGGACCCGCTCTAGTTTCTAACCCCCAGACGGGGCAGCTGTGCAGTGCTCCAGGCCTCTTGCCCCTGGCAGGTGCTGGTGAGTTGCAGGTAAAAGGCAAAGCCACAGGAGTCCTAGAGCAGCTTCCTTAATCCCCTCCTGGCTCCCAGGCCCGCACCTTTGGTTCACTGAATTAAGGGCTTGCGTGCCTCTCACCACCCACCCAGCCTCCTAGGGTGCCAGACCTGGAAAGGACTTTAACCATCACCTGGACTAGTCCATCCCCGAATTCCACAGAGAGGTCCAGAGAGGTGAAGTGGCTTATTCAAGGGCGCACAGCTTCCAAGGGCTGTGTCGATGTTCTGTACCTTACCTTGCCTTCTCTTTTCTCTAATATTTTATCCCTTACTCCTTCTCTGACCTTTTGAGCTTTGTAATCCTTCCCCCTCCACTGCATCCCTCCTTTCCCCTGTTGCCCACAATCTTTGTCCCGGCAGGTCCTGGCCTTTAGGAAGACTCCAAGTCCCTGAGAGACCCTGCCCCCCATTTCTTCTCTGGCCCAGAGTGCAGGCTACTTTCGGCACCATGGCCTTTTCATCAAGGTTCGCCTTCTGGGAGCAAAAGGAAAGTTGTATTTCAAAACTCTTTATGCTTTTCTTATGTGTTTGGCATGGTGTGTGCAAGCAGGAGACTGGCTTGTGGGAGCGGGAGCTTTGGAAGCTAGAGACGGGTTGGGGCATGTGTGTGTATTTGGGGGCCGAGGAGAATGACCAGGGGATCCAGGAACTCACTCTTCTGTCTGGATGGGCTCCTGCGCTGAGTCATGCTCCTCCCCTGAGCTCCACCTCTGGTGAGCTGAGCTGCCTTTTGTCCCACTGGTGCCCCTCCAAGTTAACCCCTCACACCCTTCCCACTGCCGCTGCTCTGACTCACCCCTGGGAATGTGAGCTGCTATGAAGGGGCCGCTGGGAATGGCTTTGGCTCTGAGGCCTCAGAGCTGGGTCTCCCCGAGTCTGGGGGCTGTGATGGATAGGGGGAGAGGAGCCAAGAGAGGGGAACCAGGCCAGTGGGCCACCTGGGGCCAGAGGGTGATTCAGGCTGCAGACCTGGGCGTGCCTTTGTGCTGTGCGCAGTCCCCAGCTGGGCAATGACCTACAACTGACAGAACCCTTCGGGTGGGGGTGGGGCAGTGAGTCAGCCTCCGGCTAAATCCAGAGCTGAGCTCAGAGCTAGGTCTAGTGTCCCACACATTTCAGGGGGCAGCCGCTGTTTCCCTCAATGCCTCGCCACTGGGGGAAGACCCTTGAGGTCCCAAGCTTGAGCCAGTGGAAGGAGGACAGATTTGGAGCTGCTGAAGGACACGGAGTGGACTTGGAATCTGGGCCATCCCTGAGCCCGAGCTAACAGCACTGTGTGCAGTAATGAGTGTGTCTGGGTGTGAACACTTGCTGTCCCTCTAACCTGTGTGTCTGGGAGCTCATGCACGGTGTGATGGTGCGGGGGGGGGGGGCAGTGATGGGCATTTGTAGGGGCAGCAGGTGCAGACCTAGACTCTCCCACTTCTCTTCCTTTCCTCTCCATCAGCCCCTCCCTTCCTTTTCTCCGCTCCAATCCTAATTTCTAAAGTCGTGGAGTCCACTCTGATGAATAATCGCCATTTTCCCTCTGGCCGTGGCACTGTGTACTAACGCTGAAGCTTGAGCCCATTGTAAAAAGCTCTATGGGCTCTTAGCTTTAAAACTGCAGCGGCCATCATGCTGGTCAGTGCCCCAGGCAATGCTAATTAGAGCTCAAAATTAGCCATGGACCCTGGTTGCAAATGGAGAGTCCCCCCAGGTGGATGATTAAAATGATTTTGGATGAGTTTTAAAGGATCTTTTCCATTAGGAATCAAGGACACCTTCCCATGCTCCTGCCCCCTGTGCTGGGAAAGAGTCATGCTGAGGATGGGGTAGGGCTGGTGGCAGACCTGTCTTTTTCCTACAGTCATAAGTGACTGGGGAAAGAAGAGAAATGAAATCCACGAGGACTGCCTGAGCTTTTGGAGGAAGAGATGCTGGTGAGGGGGAGGGGAGAAGCCTCTCTCAGAATTGAGGCCTGGTCCTCTGGGTCTGTTCTGAGCCAGGCTCTGAGCTGAAAGAACCATCAGAGTGGCCATATTGTCTGTCCTTTGACCGAATATATTATGGTCTCTGCCCTTTGGCCCTGACTCTACTCCTCCCCTCTGACTTGGGCCAACCAGCTCCTGGGCTGGGCACAAACCCCAGACCCCAGGCATCTTTCCTTCCTCCACGCCCCACCCCGAACCTTGGGGTTGCCTCCCTCAGCTGCATGGTTGGCAGAGTTTTGTGGGTCTGAGGTTGGGAAGTTATCTGGCCTCCTGAATCCCCGCCTCTGCCCGACTTCCTGCCTCCAGCCAGAGCTCAGCCCTCTGGTTGGGAAGGCACGCAGGCTCTGTGCTGGGGGAAATCATACGGTCCTAGAAGCAAGCCTGAGCCAGCCTGATAGGGGCCACCTATTACCCCACACTGAGCTCTGCTGGCCCAGCCGGCCCCCCCACGCTGGGGTCATTCCCTCCTCCTCAGTCCCTAGGTCAGGGAGGCTCTTGTTCAGACCACTTCCTGTCTGAGCTGGGAATGGCTCTTGTAGTTTAGCCCGAGTTGAATTCGCTGGATCTTTCTCTCCACCCTGTAACCAAGGCCATGATGTCGCTCTCATGGGTGGACCTCTTTAGGCAGCCTAGGTGGGTCACGTGGCTGGTCACTGAGGGCAAAGGGTACTTAGCTTTAACCACCCCCAGAGACTTCATTCTTGAAGTTGTCACTGGACAATTTTGACCCCAGGATAGGCTATCTGTTGCTCAAGTCCATAGGCCCAGGACTCCTAAGCACTCAGGAGCTCTTGCCTCTCAGAGAGAGCGACTGCTTGGATGTTTTCCTTCTGTGCTTTTAGTGCTGGGTCTCCCCACCCTGACCTCTGACCTGCAAAGTGACTTCTTTGTCTGCTCCCTCAGGTTAAAGAGGAGGACAAAACTCTGCCGAAGCCTGGTCCTCCTGCCAAGGAGGAAGGGGCTGTAAGTGCTTCTCCTAGACCC